TGCCTCCCATCTCCAGTTATTCTGGGTCTCATTGTAAACTTTAGCTCCAGAACTATGTAAGGAGCTTTATGGGATGACCCTTTCTCACAGTAAATTATTAATCTTCAAAAATTATATGCAGACCAACATTAAATGGGTGCTGGTATTCTATCACGTTCATCTCAGGTTCAACTTGATCTCAAAAAAAGGATGTAAATACAAATATTTACAGGATATAAAAGTATGATCTTTAAATTTTATGGGCATGTCTCTATTATGCTTCAAGATGCAGACATTTAAGGCAATGCCGCAAATGCATTCCAGTAAAGATCAGAATCTGGCCAGGGGGAAGGTAGTGGTGATTTAGCTCAGACAACTTGGTAATGGTATTTTCACAATCTGAAAATAACTATTAAAGGCAAATAGAACGTTGTGATGAGTTTTATAGTAAAACCTGTTATTTAATGCTAGAAAATAGTTAAGACTAAGTCAGTTTTTTAGAGAAATCCTCAACTTCTTACATTACATTTTTTTTCAGTAGCATTTTGCAGGACTGAAATAATCACTTTCAAACTAGAAAAGAGTTTATATCTACAAAAAAAATCCTCTCTTATTTTCCATTGTTGCTTTCAATTACCCATCTTAGACTACTGCTACTGACATCATCAGCTGTTTTGTAGTTACACCTATAACCTTTGATCTGTAAGTAAGAAGTAACTTAAAATAGTTTATGATCAAAATATTCAATCAATGCCTTTATGTTTTTCCTTCACTGAGGTCAGACAGTTTATAGCTCAAATCTTCTAGCCTGTCACTAAAGATGTACTTTCAGTGTCCAATGTCATAAAATCCCGAGATGTAAATGCAAGAGCTCCTTAAATTTAAATAAAATCACAACCAGAAAAGAATGCTTGTCTGTTGGTTTCACAGATGGGTAACTGATTTATCTTTTTTCCCATGAGTTTATTACTTCAACCCCCTTCAAGGCTTTGTTTTAAGTACTTATTTGTTGAACATCAGTCAAGGCAGAACCCTTTCTGTACTACTGCAGCATCTGCATGCCTCTAACAGAAAGCAAGCTCAGTTATAGTTTGCTGTTAATTTCAAAAACAGCTTTGTTGCTTTGCTGTGAAAATCCTAAATATAGGCCTGTTCTTTTTGTTCCATGTTCCCTATCCCATGATCTATATTTTACCCATATTAGGATTCTGAACTAAAAGCTTTTGTTTCATTACCTTGAAGAACACTGCATTAGGAATCAGGCATAAACAATCAGAGAAGCTAAAAATCACAAGGTCAAATAAATTCTCCCCCTCATCTCCCACTTCAGTGGGAGTTTGGGCAGGCCCTAATTTATAAGGAATGGTATAGATTTACTACAAATGAAAGCAGTATTAGTTTAAAAAATTACTTCATATTCATGCTTATTTAGCACAACTTAATCACGGAGCCAATAAATAGCCTGTAACCTATTTTGAAAGGACAATTAGTTCCCAATGCTATCACATATCATTGTAAAGAGTAAGTTTAATGTTTTATCAGTCTTTTGAAGGTATGCCTCTCATTACTGACTACACAAAAGAAGTACCAGAAGTACTGATCTAGAAAATCAAAATGTTGTCAAAAAAATGAAACTGCAGAAGTTGAAATTTCCATGCAATCTTCTATTACAATAGGGATGCAATACAGGACAACAGCTCCACAGTCCTTGAAAGCAAATTCTACCAAAGGAACATGTGAGAAAGTCAACCTATTACTAGCCATCCTTATTACATATTGGGTGGGGGACTTTTTTTTTTAAATGAAAAAACAAAAACAAAACAAAACAAAAAAACCAAAGCAAAACAAAAAACCCACCAACAAATGAAAATCAAAACCAAACCAAAAAAAAACAGTAACACAGATTACTAGACTGATGCATGTTGGAAAGGACTTCTGGAGGTCATTAGTCCAAGCCCCAGTAAAAGTTTTCTAGTATGCTGTTGTTTTTGGCTCTTTCAAGGATAGGGATACCAAAACTCTCTTTGGGCAGCCCATTCCCAGTGTTTGGTCACTCCCAAAGCAGCATTCCCTCCCCCATCCAACTGGAATTATTTTTACCACAACTTCTTTGTCATCCCTTCTCCTGTCACTGAGCACTTCCAAAAAGTGCACAGCTCAGTCTTCTCTATATTCTCCCTTCCCATTTGGTAGCTGAGGTAATGAAATTTCCTTCTAAAGACTGAAACTCAATTCTCTCAGTCTCTCCTCATCCACAGTGTCATCTGGCTCCCTGGTCATTAGTCATTACTATGCCCTCCAGTGGACTCCCTCTACTCTGTCACTACCTTTCTTTTAGGGAGGAACCCACTAGTCACAGGACAGTATGGACTCGCAAATGCTGCTCCAGTGTGGTCTCACAACAGGAACGATCACTTCCTTCAAAGTGCTGGCTACACTGCTAATGAAGCACAGTATGTCACTAGTTGCCTGTGTGACAAGGATGCAATGCTGACTCAATCGGGCACCCACCAGAACCACAAGGTCTTCTTCTGTGGAGCTGCTTCCAGTTAGGTACCCCCAGCCTGTGTTCTTGGTTACCACATGTCAGATAAAGGACTGCACTCTAGTATTAATTGGTAATTAATAAGGTATATCACTAGCACATGGCCATCTATCAAGTTTGTACTGCTGATCATCATCCTTTGAGCCTTGCAGTCTATCCATCTGAGCATTCACTTACCCAGATGACATCTCACCTTGGTAGCTGTAAGAATGCTACAGGAGACCATAGCACAGACCCTGCCTTTCTACAAGCCAGTCATGTCAGCATAGAAGGCAACTGGTTTGCACAACCTGCCTCTAGTAAAAACAAGACTTACTGTTTTCAATTCCCTTTTTGTCCTTCACATGCCGAGAAAGAGCTTCCAGAAGGATTCAGTCCCTAACAGGCTCACTTTTCCAGACTCTCCATTTTTGAAAATGGCCATGGTGCTTGCCTTTTGCAGTCACTGAGGAACCTCCCAATGGTGATGATTTCTCAAAGAGGACAGAAACCAGTCTCACAATGACATCAGTCAGCATCCCTGGATGCACAAGTCCTTGTCCCACTGGCATGCAATTGCACAACTGGGTTAACTACTCCCCAGCTGTCATTGTCTACTGTGGACAATTCTTCACTTCCACAGGCTTTATCATTAGGCTCAGGAGCCCAGGAAGCAGGAAGACAAGTCTCATCAGGCAAAAAAAAGGCACTAAGTACCTCAGTGTTTTACTTGTCTTCTGTCACTAGTCCCTTGTCCATTAAATAGTGGGTCCACATCTTCTTTAGTCTTCCAGTTGTTATCCCCACCTTTCTTGTTTCTTCCCACATCCCTCATAAGATTCATCTCACATCCCTCTGAGATGAGCCTTGGCCTTCCAAACTCCATCACAGCACACTTGGGCAGCATCTCTAGATGGCTCTTCAGTAGCCAATACTTGCTTTCACCTTCTCTGTATACGGGTCCAGAGCTCCCTCTCAGAAGTGTAGCTGCCTGCACTTAAAGGCAGCTCTCAGATATCACACAGCTGTTGATCCAGATTGTTATGAAGAAAGAGTTGCTTATGAAAGACCTGTAAGAAGCCACCTCAGCAGAGGCTCCCCTCACATCACTCAAAGCTGCTTTTATGATGAAGCTTTTAAGCAGTTCCCAGCTTGAGCCAGACTGAAGTCATGCCTGTGTCTGGGCACACAGCCCAACTGATGCACACCCTGACTGACAGACTTTACACACTGGCTTGACCTCAGACCTCCCTTGTCATTACTGACTTGCCTGGTGTCTGGTGTCACTGGACTGTTGGTTGAACCTGGTTACTGTTACCAGACATGTTCTGCTCTTCTTTTTCAGGCACTGTGGGACTGCTTTCACAGTGATGACACAGCTCCTGTGCCTGCCTTGTCCCATCTAGCCTTCCCTCACTTCCTTTCCTCTTGCTGCTCCCAGACACATCTGAGCTCAAGTCAGGCATCCTGCCATACTTGCTTAGTTTTCTGCATGTCAAAATGAGCCATTCTTGTGCTTTGAGAGGTTATTCTTGAAGAGCAACCAGCTCTTGAGAGCTCCTTTGCAATTCAAACCAGTCTTCCATTTAATCCTACCAAGCAGACCCCTGAACAAGACAAACATCTGTTATTATGTAGTACAGGGCCCTAATCCTACTATTCATTCTGCTCACTTCTTTGTGGACTTTACTCTCCTGCCCCAGACCACATCCACTGTCAGTTCTTCCTCATTTGCAAGTAAAAAGTCTATGTGAGCACCTCCCCTGGGAAAAGTTTTTATACTCTTGGGAAACACACCTTTTTATTTCAAGTCAGTTTAGCAATCTTCTAGTAATGGAAAATTTGGTTTCAGACGAATACAAAGCAATTCACACAGCTGTACTTGTGCACAGACTCCTTTACCCACAAGTAAAACCACAGCTACTTCACTTTCCAGCTCCATCTTTTGGCACACTGTTCACATTCTACAACTCGTTGGAAAAAGGACTTTTACTTACCTGTACAAATACTCATGTGCCATGTTCACTGCATAAACACACACAAAATAATGCTCTTTATCATAGTCTCTGAATTGATATTTGCCTTCTGTTGCATTTGTGTTCCCCATGTTGCAATATGAGGGCAGGAGGAAGCGCTGGATCATGTATTCCCACCAATCTTTGGGTGTATCTCTAACAGCTGAGCAGAGCTGTACCAGTGTAAGTAATTTTATTATCATTCAACAAACATTACACCAAAGACAGTTATAGCTTACACTGAAGTTTCACATTTGCTCCTGCTAAATGCTGCATTCATGCTTATACACCAAGACTATTTCTTGGTTTTCACAGGAATTATGCACTGACCTCAAGTGTTCTAGGTATTAAGTACCAGAAGCACTGGTATTCAAATTCATCTGTTGGTACCAAGAGATGAAAAAAGTATATACTATAGTGTTCTGAAATAAAGCAGCTATATTTAAAAGTATATTATCAGAAAAAGGACAACGCAGTCTCACCTTGAAATGATTTGCAGGGTGTATCAGTTGATGTGCTAGCATCTGCTGATGAAGTCTGAACATTACCCAAATTCTTTTCTTTGGATTTTGATCCCAGATTTCCAAGAACTGCCTCCTCTCCTCTATTTGAAGTATGCACAGGAGAAGATGATGAAGTTTCACCATAGAGTCGTTTCAGTAATTTTGCCAAGAACACTGTAGGGTAATAAAACTTTCTTAAACATGAAAAAATGCAGTGTTTTAAAGATATTTTAAGACTTAAAAATCCCCAACAATTAATTGATACGAGATATTTTCCCTCATATTCCATGCAATGGTCTTCACTAGTCCTTACCTCTCACAGGCACAACTGAAAATAATATATATAAATTCTAAACTCAACTCAGAAAAGCCAATTTAAAGCCCCAGAGTTCAATTAGCAAGGTTACATTTGAAGTCTTCTATTTGAATGCATTTTGGCAATAAATTAATACAGACTAAACACAAAATAATTTTTAATTTTTAAAACAAGTACCTTCCTATACAAGTGTTATAAGGCTGCTCAAAATGCAGGTCTCTTCTGACACAGAGGCACTGCAATTGAATTACTTATTAAAATCAGTAAGCTACAACTATTTAATTATATAGAAAAACTAGAAGTAGACAGCAGCAGAAACACATGGTAACCCAATTATTTCTACAGAATTAGCAGTATTCTTATACGCCTCTTCTTCTTATGGGCCGCCTTCTGACGACACTGACAATCTGCTACTAGTTACTCAAATGCAAGCATCATTTGATTAAAGAAATAGATGCAAATAATCTACTCATCAACAAAAACATCTTCTTACAGGTACGTGTATATTTCAATCACTTTAAAAGACATGTTATACTAAAATATAAAGTAATACTAAGAAGGTTTTTATGTATTGCAAAAAACCATCCCTAGTTTCATGAATTCTACATGATCAAGAAGATATTGTGGGATGGGGGGGTGGGAAAAGAGAGATTTGGAGAAAAACATCTTATCTAAACTCCAACTTTAAATTTAATATATGTTTTTTGGACACTACACAAGCAACTTAGTGCAGATTCATAATAAATATTTCTGCCAAGAGAAAACGACTTATGTCCTTGTAAGAACAGTTCCTACTGCAGCTCAGCTGAAACACATATTATCATCATATAGCCCATGAATAAATTACCTCACAACTTAAAAAAAATCACCTTCATCCTTAAACATCCAGTCTTTGATAGACATGTACCTCCACATGTGCCTTGGCAACTATGCTTCATCTGTCATGTAAATGCCTGACTATGGGTTAGAATGCGTTGTTATAGGTTAAGACTACTGTTCCTAGAAAGACAGACACAAACAAGTGACTCTGTGTTTTCTTTTCATAAGGTTCCCTTGCCAGGTTACTCTACAGCTAGAAAGACAAAAATCCACAACTGCCCTCAACTAGAGAATTTAGACAGAAATAAGCAGTGCAATAAGACAAAGTAAACTGCTCTTTGCAGATCTCTGACTCTAAAGCAAGTTATCCAAGTGGTTTATCCTGGATCCTTTCCCCAAGTGCTGCTACTAACACTACAGCACTTCAACAAACTCCAGCAGAGCCGTTACTAAATAGAGCCGTGGTTTAACACCGATAGGCAGCAAGTCCCCCCACAGCTGTTCACTCACTGCCCTCACATGGAATGGGTGAAAGAATCAGAAAGATAGATTGGAGACCACTCATGGGTTGAGATAAAGACAGTTTAATAGGTAAAGCAAAAGTCATACACAAAAGCAAACCAAGGAATTCATTCACCAACTCCCATTTGCAGGCAGGTGTTCAGTTGTCCCCAGGAAAGCAGGGCTCCACCACGAGCTAAGTTGACTTGGGAAGACAAACACCATCACTCTGAACATCCCTCCCTTCCTCCTTCTTCCCCCAGCTTTATATGCTGAGCATGATGTCATATGGTGTGGGATATCCCTAGGATCAGTTGGGGTCAGCTGTCCCAGCTGTGTCCCCTCCCAGCCTCCTCGCTGGTGGGGTGGGGCGAGGAGCAGAAAAGGCCTTGACTCTGTGTAAGCACTGCTCAGCAATAATGAAAACATTCCTATGTTATCAACACTATTTTCACCACAAATTCAGAAAACACAGCACCACAGGAGCTGTTATGAAGAAAATGAACTCTAGCACAGCCATAACCAGTACACAAATTAACATTCAAGCATTTGTACCAAGGAAGCTGTTCTTTCAAAGCAAATTATTATTGACATACTAATGAATCTATGGAAACACATTTTCTACAAGTCTGCTGAGAAGAGTCAGCCTCCTCATAGCTACAGTTGATTTTATGCTCCCCATCTGGAAATCTGATTTCTCTAGTCATCTGTTCAGTTATCCCCACTGTCTGCCCCCCCTTCTCCAAATTGCATCACTCTTTTTCCTTTCCTTTTTTAAAATAGGAGGACTTTACTCATACACACATTAGCATTGCTTCAGAAAGCAAGATGAGACCTGTCGTGATACACTCGTTCCTTCTCATTCCCATGGGGAACTCTCCCCATCTTGAATACCTCTGCCTGAGAAAGGAAGCTGAAACAACGCCTGCCTTTGGAGGGTATGAATACCAAGGAGAGTATTCTTTCATAAAAATCTCTTTTGCTCAGAAAGAAATATCTCGATCAGTAACAGTGATGGATTTACTTCACCAGAGCAGTATCCACATGGCTGGAGTTTTCAGCAGACACTGGGAGAAGCAGCTACGTGCAGAGAGAGTTCTTTACTGCCTGCAAAGTTTACACATCTGTGTCAGTGCATCTCAGCACTGACACAAGTCATCTCTTAAGATAACTAGTAATTCCCAATAACCAGAACAGAATGGAAGTGAGCAGTGTGACACCTAGGCATGACAAGGTCCTCCTTCGGAACCTGATGTATTTCAAGCCTTCTGAAGACAGCAGGAAGCAAAGTATCCCAGCAGTACCCCTTCCTCAGGAGAACACAGAATCATCAGAAAGCACTGAAAAAACTGACTGATTCAGTTTGAACTATTTGGAATCCTAAGGATATTCTAGCCAGAATGAAAAATAAAAATATGCCTGCAGCCCAAAACTTTTTGAACAAACTGGTCCTGCGTATTAGTGAACAAGGAAATTAGGCTCTGAGGAATACCTATCCTTTCAGAGTCAGCAGCTTTACATGCTCCAAAGCAGCACTGTGCTTTGCAGTTAAGACTCAGAGCTAACAAAACATTTTTCAGATAACAGAGGAAGCTCTCCCCTCAGGGTTTTATTGCTGCGATTACTTAAAAAAGGTATCATGTGACACCCATGAGCACTGGCTTAACAACAGGAGGTTGGTCTTGCCTGATGCTATAGAGCAGTTCTTCCCTATTCAAAAACTCTTCTTAACCTGATGTCTTTGGCACTATACAGTATCAGAGATCAGTCCACTTGGTAAGAACTACTTAGACTCTTAAAAATAACTACCTCTTACCAGAAAATTAGCAATAAAGAAAATTCAAGCAAAAATATCTGCTACCAGATATCTGCTACCTATTAAGAGTTTCAAAATGGAGTAAGACTTGCTCTCACCATATGCATAGCATAGCCAAGTGAATAAGCATATGGTTATTTGTTGCTGTTGTTTTCCAGTCAGCATAACTGATGGAGGATTTGTAGAGGTTTATGTGGTCTTACAGTTCTGATTAAGCTTTAAATTTAATTTTAAAAGCAAAAAAAAAATCAATTTCCAGCTGAAAACATGCAACCCTATCAAAATACCCAGCCTGTAACTGAAAGCACTGAATATTCCTAATGTGCAATGAGCTGAAGCAAAATCAGAACATACAGAAATTACTCAGCGACAAAGAAACGCCAGTATTTTCAGACACGAGAACAAGCTGCAATAGGTCCCAAGCTAGTTCTATGGCTAATTCTTGACAACTCATGTCTGGAAATAGTGAAGTGCAAATACATCAGAAAACTGAAAAAGCACCAGGACTCTGCAGCTTGACATCAGATAAATATAACAAAGTGTAACTCCAAGAAATACAGTGCAGAACACATACTGGCTACTGATACAAACTGTGAACATCCATGATCTTTCTATTACAATTTTGCAAGAAGAGTAAAGAAACTCCTTCAAATAAATGCATTTTTGGCATCTCTGTATTAAACTGATGCCTTGATTTAATTCATATTATGTACATAAGCAGACTATCCACAAACACACACTGGATAGCACTGCAGATTTATGAATGTTCTCCTGAGGCTGACAACATGACTTAGCATGACTTACAACTCAGTTAAGAATAGAGACTGTACAAAAAAGCATGCTGAATAACCAAACAAATTAAGTTCTGAACATCAGAAGAGTTCCTGTCCAGCTGAGTGTAGGAGGCAACAGTTTCCTCAAAAACATTTCTATGGAGAATGCTCGCCACATACTTTTGGCTACTTGCCATACATACTGTAAGCACCCCTACCATGTTTCTCAGTTGGTTGCCTCCTGCCTACTCAAGTCGAAGTTGGGCAGCAAGAACAAAATAAATGGCATCAAGAGCACTGAACACATTAGAACTCCATGAAGCTTGAAAGTTGTCTTACTTGGTCTCTCTCTCTCTCTCTGTCTCCTACAAACAGCTTTCCAAAAATGGAAGAATCAGGAATTTCTTCTGAAATTATCCCATGTGTAAGATGTGCTAATATGCTATTTTTGCTAAAGCAGAAGAAAAGATAGTACAGCAGAACGGAAGAGGACAGAAAGAGGAGACAGAATGATAATCCACATGCAGAACATATGGATAAGGCTTCATTAAAACGTTCAGTTCATCTCTTGCAGAATTACTATCCAACAGTCAAATGGATTTAAATCCTTGAAGTCTCTTTTTATCATGCAAGTACCATATCTCCTATGAAGGTCACAACGGGACAGTTACTTTACAGCATGGTGATAAAAATCACAAAACCATTAAGGTTGGAAGGGACCTCTGGACATCATCTAGTCTGATCCTAATGCTCAGAGTAAGATCAACTAGAGCAGATTGCTTAGGGCCTTGCCTAGTTGGGTATAACAATCATAGAATCATAGAATCATCTGGGTTGGAAGGGACCTCTGAGATCATCAAGTCCAACCCTTGATCCACTATCACCGTGGTTACTAGACCATGGCACATCCAGTCTCATCTTAAAAACTTCCAGGGACGGAGAATTCACC